GGGGGGGGGAATTCCTATTCCTGTTCCACCCCTCCTGTATTCTGATAGCCCTGCAACTGGACTGTAAGGGATTGGAGTCCAGGAAGAGTGAGGAAAGTCCCAGGCATCATGACCTGAGCAGGATGTTGAGCTCTTGTAGCTGCTTTACCTGGAGCTGTAACATGCAGCTGACCTTTGAAGATGAGAGAGGCACATCAACTTACATAAATTAGAGACTGCTCTTGTTCACACCTGACTGTGTAGCTGCCCTGATCTGCAGCGAGGGTCCTTTCTACCTCAAATCATGATCAGATTTGCTTATAACAATGCTTTCTCTTTTCCAGTGGGTGAATTCGTAAGTGATGTTCTACTCGTTCCAGAAAAGTGCCAGTTTTTCCACAAAGAGCGGATGGAGGTGTGCGAGAATCACCAGCATTGGCACACTGTAGTTAAAGAGGTAAAAGAATGGATCATGTGTTGTTTTCCTTGTTAAGAGAGAAAGAAAGAAACATTTTCTTCCAAACCTCCTCATGATTTCAAATTGCTTTTATTTTCCCTCTTCAAAGTTTGCAATTACTTGTATCTTCTAAGTTTAAAATATTTGGGGGCACCTGGGTGGCTCAGATGGTTAAGCCTTTGACTTTTGGTTTTGGCTCAGATCATGATCTCATGGTTCATGAGTTCAAGCCCCGCTTCAGGCTCTGCGTGGACAGTGTGGAGCCAGCTTGGGATTCTCTCTCCCCCCTCTCTCTGCCCCTCCCCCACTCACACATACTGTCTCTCTCTCTCTCTCTCTCTCTCTCTCTCTCTCTCTCTCTCAAACTTAAAAAAAAATTTTTTAGGGGTGCCTGGGTGGCTCAGTCGGTTAAGCGTCTGCGGCTCAGGTCATGATCTCGTGGTTCGTGAGTTCAAGCCCCTGCTGACAGCTCAGAGCCTGGAGCCTGCTTTGGATTCTGTGTCTCCCTCTGTCTCTGCACCTCCCCCACTCACACTCTGTCTCTATCTCTCAAAAATAAATAAGCATTAAAATTAAAAAAAAATTTTTTTAAATAAAAATATTTGGGAGGATATTTTTATTGAGAAATACAGTGTTGACAATCCAGCTCCTAAAGTTAAGGATGTTGAAAAGATTGTTAAGCAAGGATGCTGTCCGTGGGATTTCCAAGGAGGCCATCCCAAGCCTTAGGGCCTTAGGGTAGAAATAGCCAATTCTAGAAAATCTATGTCTTGACATGTATCCTCATAGGATTGGATGCCATTTCATTTTTCCAGTGAGGAAAAGTACCCTTTCTTATACTTGTCTTCTGTGGTTAAGTTGGATCTCTAGTCAGTTTCTTTGGTCAGATTCTGACACAATGCCCTCACAGTGAGGAATGTAAATTATCACTGACCGCCTTTAGCCAGCATTGATAAGTACTAGAAGAGCTCCCTTTTCCTTAATTTTTTTCTAACTGTGGGCTTTTGTTGTTTCTGGCCCGGATGATGATTCTCCATTGCAAGTTAAGCAAAATTTGTAAATCTTCTTAAAATAATAGCATCACAACTTGTTGACAGAAAATTTGTGTGTCTGTGAGAGAATGCTTTACATAGTGATTTGATAGGGGTTTCTTTTGTTTTTTTATTATTATTTTTTATAATATTTTTATTTTTGAGACAGAACATGAACAGGGGAGGGTCAGAGACAGAGGGAGACACAGAATCCAAAGCAGGCTCCGGGCTCCCAGCTGTCAGCACAGAGCCTGACGCGGGGCTTGAGCCCACGGACAGCAAGATCATGACCTGAGCTGAAGCTGGACACTCAACTAACTGAGCCACCCAGGCGCCGATAGAGGTTTCTTTTGGATGAAGCTAGTGATGCGGGACTATTTGACCAAATTTGTTAATGTTCTGATGTTGGATCTGTGGGTTTCTTTTAGGCCTGTCTGACTGAGGGGATGACCTTATATCGCTATGGCATGCTGCTGCCGTGTGGGGTAGACCAGTTTCATGGCACTGAATATGTGTGCTGCCCTCAGACAAAGACTGTTGAATCGACTGTGTCAAAAGAAGAGGAGGAGGATGAGGAGGAAGAAGAGGAAGAGGATGAAGAGGAAGACTATGATATTTACAAAAGGTAAATTCTTCTTCTACACCTGTGCGATTGTTTTGCTGGTGGTGGTGGGCTGCCGGTCCCTCCCTTCTGGATAAAGTGGGCATTCCCTCGTTCATGTTGGCATTGAGCCAGCTGGCCTTTCATTGTCGCCCTAGCTGATTGAAGGACTGCCGGTGGCTCTCGGCTTCCTATTCTGTGGCCGCGGTATTTTCTGCAGGCTAATGCAGTGCCTGCCCACTTACTCCTCCCCTCCTCCTCCCCAGCTGTAGCTGGGCTGAGGGCTGTAGTGGCACAGCTAAACGTGAGTTGAGCTTATTTCCTGTCTCTGTTTTTGTGTTTCAGCATAGGGAAGAGAATCATTGTTGTGCTTTGCACACAGGAATTGGTCTTAACCTTCCTTTTCTGTTGTGACCTTTAGTGAATTTCCTACCGAAGCAGATTTGGAGGACTTCACAGAAGCAGCTGTGGATGAGGATGACGGGGATGAGGAAGAAGGGGAGGAGGTGGTGGAAGACCGTGATTACTACTACGACACCTTTAAAGGCGATGACTACAACGAAGAGAACCCTACCGAACCCAGCAGTGACGGGACGGTTTCAGAAAAGGAGATTACTCACGACGTTAAAGGTAACCTGATGTATTAAAATCCATCTGGTAATTATTTGCTTACAATTTTGGACTGCATTCATCACAGGTAAGTCACAGAGGGAGAGGCGGCACTCCTGGACGCTGGTGTGAAATCTGCTCTCCAGCCCGCTGGTGGTGCCATCTTAGCGCTCGGTGGCCAGGCTGCTGACACGGTCAGGGGGGGACCCAGGATTGAATCAGAAACTGTTGTTGGCATTATAAGGACTGAACTAGAGAACAGGGACCCAGAGGATAAGGGAGAAGATACATGGTTCATACTTGGGCAGGATTCTTCCACATGGAGCCTGCAACATTCTCTCCCCAAGGGGAGCCCCCTCCTCAGTACTTCTAAAGCCCTGACCTTCTACGATGAAATTAACTTCCTTGGTTCTTTTCTTGAGTGTGTGTTCCCATCCGTATGCTGCCCTGTTGGTCCACCAGAAAGATGCCTTTAATGACCTACTGGTGAGGAATCAGGCCCAGCAGTTTTTTCATCCTGTCATTTCAAAAAAAAAAAAAAAAAGACCATCTAGAGCCATTTACATGCAGCCTCCTGGAGAGTGTCTATCTGATGCCATTTAAGATCTGAAGAATTATTTGGGACTCCCTGTAGGGGAAATACTTAACAGTCTAGATGTTTGTTTGTTTGTTTTTAACATTTATTTATTTTTGAGAGAGAAAGAGAGAGAGAGAGACAAAGCATGAGTGGGGGAGGGACAGAGAGAGAGGGAGACACACAATCCAAAGCAGGCTCCAGGCTCTGAGCTGTCAACACAGAGCCCGACGCGGGGCTCGACCTCACGGACCGCGAGATCATGACCTAAGCTGAAGTTGGATGCTTAAACAACTGAGCCACCCAGGCACCCCGACAGTCTAGAAGTTTCTGAGTCATCCTGAAGAAAGTGAAAATGTACATGTGTGCAATCCAGGCACTTACGTAGCATTTCCTATAGTTATCACCAGTAAAACAGCCTCTTCACCCCCATTGGTCTCCTTTGATCCTTGATACGACAATCAACAAATCAGGCAAATATCTCAGAAGTGGAAGGCTCACAGAGCTGTGAGACACAGAATTCCTCTCCGTCAGTCTAGACTCAAGACAGTGTGAAAAACACTGTTTTCAGTTCCTAAGTGTCTTTACTACAGTCAGGACAGAAAAACGACTACGTCCTCAGGAAGGCCAGGCTTGAGTCGGTGAGATGGTCCACCAGGGCGCTTGGGGTCCGCCCAGTCTTGGCCTCCGCTGACATTCAGCGGGTCGTTGAGCATGTGGCCTGGCCTGTCCTGTCCTCCTCCCACCCGTAGCAGTGTGATCAAAGCTGCTGCCTCTGTCCCGCTGACGCTCTGACCGTTTTCACACAGCTGTCTGCTCCCAGGAGGCGATGACGGGGCCCTGCCGGGCCGTGATGCCTCGTTGGTACTTCGACCTCTCCAAGGGAAAGTGCGTGCGCTTTATATATGGCGGCTGCGGAGGCAACAGGAACAATTTTGAGTCTGAGGATTATTGTATGGCTGTGTGTAAAGCGATGAGTAAGTCCCGGCACGCTGGCTTCGTGCAGCGGCTCTGTCCTGTCCGGCGTTCTGTCTCTCCCGGCCGTCCCTGTGACCGCGTCTGTGTCGTGCTCCCTTGCCGACTCAGGTGTTGGCTGTCAGTCGTTTTCCCCTCATCTCTGTGCTTTCTAGACCTAGGCTCTGCTTTCCTGTTGGCAGTCGTGAGCCCAGTTTTGTACGTCCGTGCTCACCGTGGGTCTGGTGGTGGTGGTGGCGGCGTGTCCCCTCCCTGGCACAGCAGAGAGCCCAGGGGCCTGTTCTTTCTTTTCCTTCCTTGTGTCTGTGGGCCCCTGGAGGGCTTCTGTGTTGCTTGGGACAGCAGCCTTACCCTTGGCTGTGTCTAGTTGAAAGGCACAGGGGTTAGCAGATCAGCCATGAGTTCTGCACATTCTTGTTTCCGTTCTTTCCTCCCATTCTTGTCCTTGAGCTACCCTGTCGCCCACCCCCATGGTGCATGTTGGCTGAGGGGGACACTGCTCTTCACACGAGGGACACCAGGAATACTCCTGGGAGTCCGGAGTCCTGAAATCTCTTGCTATCTGCGTTCTGTGGGGAGAGTTCTGCAGCTGAGTGGTGGTAACTGTTTTTCCGATAGTTTGGCAATGTTGGATCATGCAGAGCTTTAGGAAGTGAAAGAATTTTAGTTCGTGTGTCCTTTGGTCACGGAGGAAATTCAGTGGTTCAGCTGAGTTGGGTTTACTTAGACATGGGTAGGAGAAGCTTTGCTTTTCTCCGTGGTTACCCCCCTTCCTTTCTAAGACCCTCTTTCTCTTATCTTGCAGTGCTAGCCCATGGGTTTGGAAGATCCTCAGGCTGGGCACTCATTTCTTGGTTCTGATTCTGGAACTCGTTAGAATAATGAATTGCTGGTCGTTCCTGGTATTTGCTCTTACGATTTTTGGCTGTCGGTTCTGGTGGATTTTCATTCAAATACCTCCCTGTTCCTTTTTCCTCCCCTGCCCAAAAGATTTTTAAATCTTAGTATTATATGGTGTGCTTTAGCACCTCCACTCCAGCTGCTGCTCTGTGGAGAGACTGTTTTTATTAGAAATCATTGAAAATGTGGAAACAGAATGAGTCCTGAGGGAACTTTGATGGCAGAAACTTTTATTCAGGAAAGATGTGGAGACAGAAATTATTGTGGTATTTCCTATTTTATAAAATTACTTAAAATTAGGGGCAACAAGACATTATTTGGGGGTGAAGCCTGAGGAACCAGGGGTCATTAAAGATCTCACTGAATATGGGAGGTAGTTGTTCCCGTAAAGGGTCAGATAGATAGTGCCGTAAGGTGCTGTGGGGTGGCACTTCTCCAGAGCGTTAGTGGTTTTCCAGTCTGCAAAATTGTAGTTTCCTGATGCGTGTAGTTAGGAGGACTTGCCACAGAGAAATTGTGTCATGTACTTGTGGGGTCCCCGGCTTGAGTGTTCTGAGAGCCCAGAAGTATCACTGTGCCACCGGCCAAGTTTGTGCTCCCCTCTGAAGGGGTCTGAGGTGGGCGGATGTGCTGGTTTTGTGAGCCAGTTTTCATAGGGACAGAAGGGTGGGTGCCCTCGCATCTTCAGAGCCAGACCTCTTGGGCTGCAATGCCTTTACCTTTTTCTTCCCGGGGGTGGAGGCAGCTTGGGTTTTGTATAATCTTTACCTAGCCCAGTGATACGAACCAAAGACTGTCTCCAACACACAAGCCTTTAAGCTGCAGATGTGCGTTGCTGATGGCAACGTGCTCATTGGCACTGATGGACTTCAGTGCTTTGAAATTCTCTCAGCTGAACTTTTGAGTATCGGGGAATGTGGTTTGTGAAGCTGTATATTCTAATTTAGTTAATCTGAAAATTGGCTGTGGTGATCCTCTTTAGCTTATGTAAGAGCCAAATATTCTTGACAAGATTTTAGTTATAGCTTTTAGGTTTAGAGCTAAGTAAAAATGCCTTGACGGAAGAACTTTGGAGTGGCTGGCTGATTTGTAGTGACAGGTCTACAGTTGTCTTAGTTGTTTTAGTGTCGTATTACAGTTATGCAGTTCTGGAAATTAGGTGAACTTCTTTCTCTCTGAACTGAAATTTGTTGGGTTTGGTATTTGCTGTCCATGAGCTCTAATATTATGATACAGCAAATTGTACAAGTAAGTTTTCTATCCGTCCTCCCTGGCTTGGGAAATTGGGAGTGAACTGGGCTAATAAGAGTTTTTCATAGGGATTTCTTTAGGGATTGAGCAGGTAAAGAGGACCTTTCCTTTGTGGGGTTAAGCTCCCTGTGCAGATAACCACTTGCCTGGGGTCACTAAGACCTTCTGCTTGAGGAGCAGTGAGGAAAGGGTATTCTAATGGGTTTCCCCTCTAGTGGGTGAAGGCCTGGGAAGGCCAGCAAGCCCAGCGTGTCTTCACACTCTGTGGTGAATCCTTGTCAAATACAGCAACTTAATGTTGTCCCTCATCCTTGATATGAAGGGCTAAGACTTGTTCAGTCATATGGAAAACTAAAAAAATTATAGCTAGAGCAGTTTGGACTTTGCCTACCCAGTCTACATGCAAAGAGCATGCAGCACTAAAGTTTCTTTCAAAATGGAGCTTTTGTGGAAGTTGCCTTTGCAGGCCTGATGTCTGCCCTTGTCTCTGGCCAGAAGTGATCAGTGACAGCAATAAGTAATTCGTTTTTAGGTTCTAAGATTTCAGGAACTGAGGGAAGATGTAGAAGTGATTTCCTTTTCTTCCCCTGAAGCCTTAAGTAGATGCCAAGGACACCAAGGGGGCACGGACTGGCCTGGTGGCTGAATGTCACAGAAGGAAAGGGGAGCAGTGCGCTCTAACCAAGTGGAGTCTTGGCAGACAGGAGCACCTTGTACCGTGAGCGTGGTGCGAGATAAACTAGTCTGTTCTGCAGGTCCTGGGTTTGATTTCTTTCCTAGGGCACAGTGCACTTTCAATGTTGGGCCTGGCCCCCAAAGGGAACCCCCTCTTGTTTTGTTCCAGTTCCTCCAACTCCTCTGCCAACCAATGATGTTGATGTGTATTTCGAGACCTCTGCAGACGATAACGAACATGCCCGCTTCCAGAAGGCTAAGGAGCAGCTGGAAATACGGCACCGCAACCGAATGGACAGGGTAAACCTTGGCACTCCCCTTCTGTTACAGGTGTTCGGCACTGGGTAGTAGGGTTTTCATAGTGGAAGAGAAGGGTCACCGCCCTCCTAGATTGTCACTCTGTGTTAGGACAGGTGAAGTGTGAGAGTATAAGCAGGTCTACCTTCTGGGTGTGACTAGCCCCTCCCCTCTGCCCCACCTCCATCTCCATGATAATATAATTAGCCTCTGAGTGCTTATTGGGTTCAGACTGCGGAGTACTTCCTGTAACCATTATGTTCTTGTTATTTTTCTTTGCTATTAACTGGCTTTAAAAAAATTTTTCTTCTGTGGAGGGAAAATTTATATCATTGTTGTAAACAGAAGGCTAGTATCATTTGCCATTTAGAACTAGGTAAATGTAAAAATATATTAGATGAAAGCAAACCTGTATTAGTATATTCTAGCTTAGATACTGTTGTCTGCTGAAGGCTCTGAGTCTCGAGATGCTTTCTTTTCTCTTTCTTTTTTTTTTTAAGATTTTATTTTTAAGTAACCTCTACACCCGGTGTGGGGCTTGAATTTACAACCTCGAGATCAAGAGTCACACGCTCCACTGACTGAGCCAGCCAGGCACCCCTCGGGATGCTTTCTTAAAAAAGTTACAAGTGTTAGAGCAACATGAGCACCACAGTGCAGCTTTCTCCTAGTTACTGAGAAAGACTGAAAGAAAATTGAAAAGAATTTCTTAGGTCTGAATACCACCTAAAATCTCATACATTACCATGTGCCAGGCTTGTACTTTTGGAAATGTTTGTTGACTCTATTTTATCCAAACAGTTCAGAGAAGTAGGTATTTAAATGCGCCCCCCCACCCCCTTTTTTATGTGTGTGAGGAGACTAAGGCACAGAGACTTTTTAAAAAAAAATCTTTTTAACGTTTATTTTTTGAGAGAGAGAGAGACAGAGTGTGAGAGGAGCAGAGAGAGAAAGGGAGACACAGAATCTGAAACAGGGTCCAGGCTGTGAGCTGGCAGCACAGAGCCTGATGTGGGGCTAGAACTTGGGGCCAGCAAGATCATGACCTGGGCCAAAGTCGGAAGCCCAGCTGACTGAGCCACCCAGGCGCCCCAAGGCACAGAGACTTTTAAATAACTTGCCCGGGGTTATAGAATGGGGAGGTCATGGAATTGAGGCTCTGTTTGCTGATGGTTGGAGTGCAGGACCTTCTGAGACAGTAATTCTGTGAAGGAGCTAAAACTGCCATGAGCTTGTGAGGGGTCACATGAGGCGATTTCCTTTTGCACAGTTTCCTACATTAGATTTCAGGGCCTGGCGGTATTGTTAGAAAATGGGGGGATTGTTTTAGAGATGACTCTCTGGTGATACTGGCTTTGACCTTTTTCTAGGTAAAGAAAGAATGGGAAGAGGCTGAGCTTCAGGCCAAGAACCTCCCGAAAGCAGAGAGGCAGACTCTCATTCAGGTAATATGTGTTTTCCAGGGACATAACCTCTGAAGTCCAGTCAGAGCCACATTCCCAGGAAATTACCGTTTGACACCTTTCGCTTAGTTGAGAGCTTATCTTACAGGAAGTTTTAACTGCCTTCCCCCTCCC